CACCCCTGGTCCTGAGGGGTTCATCTGTCCTAGATTCCCTGTGTTTCCAATTCCCATCTGTACCGCTGTGCATCCTCTGGTCTAACCAGGTCTGCAAGGCAGAATTGGGGTCCTGGTAGTTGGGGGGAGGAAGCGTTTAAGAACTAGAGGAAGGTTGGGTTCATTGCTATACTGTACCCTAAGTGACTCATCTCCCCACTACCCCTCTGCAAGGTATGTCCAGTTGTCTGGAGATGGGCATTGGGTCTCAATCATGTGCGCCACCCTCATTGACGAGAATATGATTCTTCCCCCCCACCCCCCTTTGGTGTTTGAAGCCTGGTCCCTTTGGCCCTTCATGATCACACATGTTGGTGTGCTGCATCCATGTGGGCTTTGTTGCTTCAGGACTAGATGGCCGCTTGTTTACTTTCAAGCCTTTTAAGTCCCCAGACACTATAGGTCTCAATAGCCGGGCACCATCAGCCTTCTTCACACTTACTTATGCACACATTTCGTCTTCAGCATTTATGTGTGGAGGTGAATTCTATGAGAAATGGGTAATTGACCCTATAACAGTACAGGGGTTGGGGATGCCAGCCTCTTTAATCACGTATCCCTTATTTCTTTAAAAAACTTCACTTGTTCTGAAAAAGTTGATGAATGCATTTTGTGTGTGTGTGTGTATATACATATATGTACTGGAAGAAGAATGGACAGAGCCCTTCCCTGGAAGTGAAGATGGTGGGACTTCATCTCACCGGCTTTGAACATGTTATCAGGACAGACTAATTGTTGGAAAAGGACACCGTGCTTGGTAAAGTTGAGGGTGAAGGAGAGGAAGAGCCTCAGATAGATTGGCACAGGGGCTACAATAATGGGCTCAAACCTAACCGTTGTGAGGATGGCTCAGGACGGCTGTGTTTCACTGTCAGACGGAGGGTCAGTATGAGTCAGAACAGTAACATGCAGTCTGCTAATTAGAATACAAAGGGGACTTACATAAGTCCAAGTGCAAGCCCTGGGTGTAAAATGTGCATCCCGCTGCAAACAAGTCCGTTTGAACCCAAGTGGAAGTGGGAGCTATCTGCTCTGGTAAAGATTCACAGCCTTGGAGACCCTGGGGAGTAATGAGTTCTACAAAACACCTAACCGTGTAACTCACTGTCTTGCCACAGCCATGTCCTTGTGGTCTAGGATCAACCTGCCTTATCTCTGAGGCATGCCTGTAACTTTGTAGCAAATCCATGCCTGAAAATCTCAAGTATTTCTAGACCCTGTATTAAGTACTGTAGAATCAAACGGAGAAGGGCTGTTGAAACATCTTTAAATAAGGTACCAGCACATTTCATTCAGCATTTCTCTTTAATTATCTTGTTATTGCTTATAGCATTTTTTGCTTGCTGTTTTAAGGGGAGCATTTCAAACAAGTTTACTGTGTGGGTTCAGTCCTCTGGAAGAAGACGTCACGTTTAGTAAAGGAGCAGAGAAAGGCCCTCGAGGAGATGGGTTGACGGGCTGAAACAACAAAGAGCAATCTGAGTAGTTGAGTGTAGTACAGGGCTAGGTGGTGGTTCCTTCTGTTTCCGTCAGATGGGTCGCTATGAGGTGGAACACCTAACCACAACCACACAGTAATAGGGAGTCCTTGGGTGGCCGTGATGGTTACGCACTTAGATACTGAAAGTCTGATGGTGGGAACCTGTCCCAGATTGCCTCCGAAGCAAGGTGGCCTGGCTGGCTGCTTGCAAAAGTCCCTGGCACCCGGCTGTGGCTTGGCAGCCAATGTGTACCTTGAGTTGAGTCAGACTCCGTGACACCACAGTATAGAGTGGATTTGCCCCTTGTTGAGGTCGCACATTGCCGGGTCTTCTCTCCTATGGTGGGCTCAAACAGCCAGCCTTTTGATTTGCAGCTGAGTACTTTGCTGAAAGGTTTATTGATAGACGCATAATCACCCTGCTGATTAGAGTTGCTTCCTTCGAATGAACTGAGCGTTAGCAAAAAGAGTGGTGATTGGTAGTTGCAGTGTGGACACTTGGTGGCTAGCTAGCACCCTCCAGTCCCCACGCAGGATTGCTTTTTATACCAGAAGGGAATGCAACTCATGGTGTATTTGAAATGGGAAAAGGAGAAGTCACGTCTCCATCCAAAGTACAGAAAACCAAGAACAACATTACCAATCTGATCATGACACCTGTGTAATTAAAAGTAGGGCGCTGGCCCTGCACTGAGGGAGCAGAAGGGACTTCACTGTGTGTTTAGAAGAGTTTGGGTTGGTTTCTCAAGACAAACCTGGTGGTCAGCATCGGATTCCCAGCTTTCGGTCTGCCAGATAGGACTTTTAAAAGCTTCATCTCATCAAATTTCACTACCATTTTGTGAAAGGGCATCTCCATTGTTTCATGAGGACATTTCCCCAAACAAGTGCAGAATGTTCAATACTTAAAACTATAAATGGCTAAGCTTGCATTTCTAACAAATAAGAACTTGTTTTTAACGAATTCTCAGAGGAAAGAACAGCCATTGAATAGTTTAGCTTTATGGGAAAACCCCTACAATGTCTCATTTGTCCTATTTCCTTGGGTTGGGGTTTGGGGGCCATTAGCCACCATCACGCTATGCACGTGGCCAGAAGTGGTGGCGATGTAGCAAAGGCCTCCGTGGAACTGCCAGTCTTCCCACTGGCATATCAGAAACATGCTCCGGAAGACCGGTTCTGACCCGTGTTTCCAACGGTTGCTTCGTGTAAGAGACAGCTAATGTTAGAAGGTCAATTACTCTGAGAAAACTCACAGATCCAGAGAAGTAACTTGGGAAGGGGTCTGGGAGAGGTCAGTCAAAAGGGCATGGTGTCAAATCTCAGGGCCCGTGGAGGTAACAGTGCTGGAATTGGACCATGGAGAAGAAATTCCCTTCTCTGCCAATCTATACATCGGCATAGGGCATTGTAACTCACAGAACAGAGCAGGAAGAAAAAGGGCCCTTTGGAGCAGGCTCCTTAATGTACCTGTACCCCACTTGCCCCTTTGAGGAACAGGAACATGTACTCATTTTATAATAGAGGGCGGTTTTGGAGATGGGAACATTTTGACCTGGGTGTCCCAGTCTGCTATGGGCTGCTAGCAATAAATAATATAATCCCACTTCAACAACATGTAGATGACACAACCTTGCTTATAAGGAGGACTTGAAGCACGAACCTGCCTTCTTCAGTATGGATTACAACTCTATGAAGAAGACCGAAATCCTCACAACTGGACCAATAGGTGACATGATAAATGGAGAAAGGAGTGAAGTTAAGGCTTTCATCTTGCTTGGATCCACAATAAAGCTACAGTCAAGAACACAGATGGCATATTGCATTGGGTAAAGGTGCACAAAAACTCTTTAAAGTGTTGAAAAGCAAGGATGTTACTTTGAGGACTAAGGTGCATCTGACCCAAGCCATGGTTTCAATTGCCTCGAAGGCATGGGAAAGTTGGACATTGAATCAGGAAGACTGAAGAAGGATCAATGCATTTGAATCATGGTGCTGCCGACAATTATTGGAACAACCATGGACTGCCAAAAGGACAGACAAATCTGTCTTGGATTAAGTAAGGCCAGAGTGCTTCTTAGAGGCAAGGATGGTGTGTTAGTCTGGGTAGACTAGAGAAACAAATCTTGGGAGAC